GTAAGAGAAAACAAAGAAACCAATCAAGGAAGCAAAAGTATTCAACATAGGTTGTGACTTACTCTGATGCCATTGAGAAAAGCAAGAGAAGATAGAGTCTTGAAATACTGCATTTTATTGATTTAATTAAGTTAATTCTATACAAATGATATATCAATATATATATATGTATATATAATAGTACATATTAATCTTGATTTTTAAAAAAAATTAAAATATCAATTACATTTAGAATTTTTTTTTTTAATTATGGCCGGATGACGTTGGTTTGTCTTTAGTTATACTTTTTATATTGACAATATGATCCTTGTCACAACCATAAAGTGTACCACGTTTAGTTTTTCTTTTTCTTTTTTTTATGATTTGTTTCTTGGAATTTTAGGTTTGGATTGGATTTGCTTTCTTGTTCCCTTACCTAATTCTCAATACATTTGATCATCCAACCCACCTCCTTTTTCCTTTGTTTCCAACCCACACCCTTGACTAATCACCGAAAAAAAAAAAACTTTTCATTTACAAGGCTGTCCATTATTCCCGTTCTTTTTCTTTTAATTGGGATTTTCAAAATTAAATGATATGGGTTGTTATATGCAAATAATTTATTTGAATAATTTTTATATGTCATTGAATGAAATAAAGTGTGTAATATTACAAATTTTAATAAAATGAAAAGAATTAATTATTAAAGAATATATAAAGTTACATAAAAAAATTATAAAAAAATTACTTCTAAATTACTTTCCAATTAATATTTATGCTTGTTAAATTAAGTGATTGTTTGGGTCGTTTTCTAATTAGTTTCTTATATTAGGTAAAGTTGGGTAAAAAATATGAGAAGATATGTTAAAAAGAGAGAAAAAACGTTCAAAGGAGAAAAAATTGTTCAACAACACTTGTTGAAATAAATTAATATTGTCAGTAACTTACTTGTTAATTTTAAATTTTATTTTTTTGTTAAAGAAAATAAAAATTGGAACTTTAAAACAAATGGACGACGTATTAGCAAAAATAAAAGAATATAATGCCACCAAAGTCACTAGAGTTTAACCAATTCTAGGATAAAATGGAGGAAAGCAAAAGTGCGACTATACCAATAGAGTGGAGCAACCAAAGCCACAAAAGTTTAACCAATTCACAGGTTGGAGGAACTCAAAAAGTTTAGGTTATATCCCCGATTCAGTCCCTGAACTTTCATTTTTGGACTAAAAATACCCTCCAACTAAAAAAAGTACTAAAAAAATCCCTAAACTTCAATTTTTGGAACCATTTTGGTCCTTCCGTCGACGGAAGTTCCAGATGGCACGTTAAGTTGCCACGAAATCAATTATTGTTTGAAATATTTAATTACATGGAAAATAACTTATTATCCACATCATTTTAATTAATTTATATATTAAAAAATTTAAAATTTCTTAAATACCCCCAATCAACAC